TCTTTCTCCAAGTAGCACATGAGGGGTTTTTCTAGTATCCAGGCAACATATTGCCTCCACTTGGCCCTGTGAGGTCCTGAATTAAAAATAGATTGTGTTGCTGTGTTCTGAAATCTAAGCCCATATTAAACACTATTTAAGGAGTCAAAGGTTCCCTCTTAGAGTTAGAAAGGGGAATGGTCATGTCTCAGCATGCTGGAACACACATGAAGAACAATGCACAGAAAACTAGAGAGGCCAAGAGTGCATGTAAGCTGCCCACTCGCTGCAGCCTTGCTAAAGGAAGGGTTCTGAACTGTAGGGAAAGCACCACTGGTTGTAGAGAAGCAGCCTCCAGCCCTTTACACAGCATATTCTTAGTGATCATCATGACTTACTGATCTGCTAATCATGCACACCACAGGGAATGTTTCAAAGTGATTCTCAGTTTTATAGCATACCTTGCTCAACATGAAACTGAGCCTAATGCCCAATGGAAAAAAGTCAAATGATAGGGCCTTTTCTGCTGGTTCCTTAAGAAAAATCATGTGTCACTGAATACAAGCACGAATTTCCATGCAGCAGACAGGATGCTTTATAATTATACCTGTACACAACCATGTTAAAGTATTCCTTTTTTTGTATTTTATTTATTTATTTATTGTTTTTATTTTTTGTGTGTGTGTTTTTTGAGACAGGATCTCCCTGTAGCCCCAACTGTCCTGGAACTCACTATGTAGACCAGGCTGGCCTCAAACTCACAAAGATCCGCCTGCCTCTGCCTCCCAAGTTCTGGGATTAAAGGTGTGCCAACACCATGCCCGGCCAGTATTTTATTTTTATTTAATGTCTATGAGTGCATTGTCTGCATGCATGTAAGTGCACCTGTGTTGTACAGTGCCCACAGAGGTCAGAAGAGGATGTTGGATCTCCTGGAACTGGAGTTACAGATGGTTGTTAACCGCCATGTGGAAGCTGGGAATTGAACCTGCATCCTCTGCAAGAGCAGCCAGTGCCCTTAACTGCTGAACCATGTCTCCAGCCCCAAATTTAATTTTTATAGAGATGGGGAAGAGGAAGTTATGGAGTCATGCCACTGAAGCAAGACCCTACCCCCTATTAAAAGCTCCCCATGTAACCAGTAACGATGTTTCTTTGACTTGCCCATGGTTGGCTATGATTATCAGAAAAAATGTTTTTTCATCAAAAGGAATGGCTTCATAAGGGCTCCTTCTGTTGCTGAGGTCAGATATTCAGACTTAAAAGACATTCTCCAAATTTGATTCTAGGCTCATTTTGAAAAATTAGATATGGAAGGAGCCTGGTGGTCAGACTCTGCCACATACTAGCAGACAGACTGAGGAAGGCCACTTATCCAGGCTGAGTTGTAAGTACATACCTCTAAAGTAGGGGTACTTGTCACCAAGCTCAGACACTTGGTTGAGTGAAGGGACTCTGTTATTAGAGGCCACCATCCTAGCTATAAATCCCAGTTCTACCCCTTCTCCTTGAGGGAAGTTGCTAAACCTACCTGAGTCAGTGAAATGGAGATTGTAACACAGGGTGAGGATCCATTATCCAAAATTCTTGGAATCAGACATGTTTTAGATTTCAGATTTTAGAACATTTGTATATGCATAATGAGATAGAGTGTGGCTAGAACCCAAGACTGTACATAAGATTCATTTATGTGTCATCACTGTCTTGTAAGCTATCTCTAGCAATCTTTTGCAGATTGACAGTCTTTCTGACCCTTGAGACATTGAATAAACTGTGCTATACCCTGTGTTTTGTTTTGCTCATGACCCATCATTGGAAATTGAGTGTGGGATTTTCCACTTGTGGCATTGTGTCAGCCCCCAGAAACTTCCAGATTCTGGAAAGCAGCTGTGCTCACGACTGTGCCACTGATACACATTAATAGTTTCCAATGGCAGAGCATTTTTGGAGTACATTTTTTTTTTCATTAGGGTGGCTCAACCTATAGCGCTCAGCTCACAAAGTTATTATCAGGATAAAAGAATAAACATAACTAACAAGATCTGAGAACAGTGCCTGGCAGCTAGTAAGTATAATGTAAGTATGTGCTTGGCTATGACAGGTTATGATTATAATTATCACTATCCATGTTGTCAAATGCCTGGTACAAATTAGTTGCTCAAAAACAATTCTATTACTTTATTGCTACTACTATTATTTCTCCCATCCAAGCAATTGATTTTTAAGAAGCCTGAAAATAATATGATGAAAATTGGGGTTTCATCTTGCTTTGTTCGTTTAATTAAACACATCAGTAGGGTCCTTTCCAAAACCTTATTACTTCAGAAATTCAAAACTTAATCTCATACTGTACGAGGAAGATTGCTTTTCAGTGTTCCTTAGAGCAAGAGGAAATGACTGTGCCCTGCTCTAGACCTGCATCAGATATTCTAGGGTGTGATTCACCATCCATGTCAGCAGCATTTCCAGTAAAACACTCCCTGTAGCTGAGGTTCCTGCTTAAGGTTGTAGACTGCTTGCAGCCTAGACTGCCTTCTGTTCCTAGAGTGAGGACAGCAATGCAAAGGGTATTCTGCTGACAGGTTTCTATGAAGTGGTAAAGGACCACTATATGGTAGTTCCATGAATTAGACATAAATACAGATAGTTCTAGAAAGCAGCATCAGGGATGAGGTGCACAGAGGGAAGAGTACCTTGAAGGATGTGATCTGTTTACAGGACTGAATAGAACACACTGGTATGCTGGGTCCTCTGAAAAGTGCTGGTGTCACATCTTATACCATACCCTCCAAGTGATAGATAGAAAAGAAATGCCTTCTGAATTTTTATCCAGGGTTAAAATGAGGGAAATCCATTTGTGTCTTCAGTATTCAGAGCTGCTGGTACAAAAGGTCACTGACACCAAGTGGTAGCATTGCAGAACTCGGGGAAAGAGTACTAAAATAGCAAAGCTTGTTTAAAGCACTAGATTCACTGTGGACTTAGGTCTCAGTCTTTTGCATCTTGCTGCTCTGGGACCTTAAATCAAAGGGCATGTGAAGAAAGGAAAACACGAAGACATTTTTCTACTTCCTACGTAGTCAAACATGTGGATAGTTGACCTCAGACTAAGGGTGACAAAATATTTATAGTGGAGCAAGCACAAATGTTTAAATGACGATTCAAGGAGATTGTTGTCACTAGTAGTGTATGGAGGCTTCTCCTCACTACTGCTTGAGTGGCCATTTCCAGCAAAATCAACAAGTATCTATGTGGACCTAGCCCTGTACTAAATATATGATTGGGAGGCAAGCTTTTGTGACTGAATGTGGCAGGACCCTAAGAGAGGAACCCAATGGACCAATGGAAGTGGGATGGAGACCTAAGGTACTGCTTTATATGGTGGCAGAATAGCATCCAAATAGATTGAAAAGCTCTGAGAGCCATATGCATAGAAATGATACAGGAAGGGCTTAAGAATAGGCTGATTGCCATTGGTAATGGTAGTTAAGTTAATAGTGAGGACCAAGAATCAACCTGTAAAGATTCTTCATTTATAGAAGGTAGAATATGAGAAGCCAGTACAGACACAACAAGAGACCATTAGGAAAACTGGAAATGGCCCAGAACCAAGTCCGGGCATAGAAATCAAGAGAATTTTCTTCAAGAAGAAAGGTGTTCTTTGGTGTTAAAAACGTGAAGAAATAAAAAAGAATAAAGGATGGAAGGAAGAAGGAGGGAGGGAGGGAGGGAAAGAAAGAGGGAGGGAGAGAAGGAGGGAGAAATGAATGAACATTGGAGTCACCAAAAAAAAAAAAAAGCATTGGATTCACAGGAAAAAGAAAGTGTTTACTTCTGAATGTGATGGATGATCTTTATTCCAGTCATTTAAGTCAGAGTTTCTCAACAACAGCAGTGTTGACATTTAGGACTGACTAACTCTTTGTAAAGGGGGGTGGCGGGGGGTGCTTAGCAGCATCCCTGGCCTCTACACATTGGGTGTTGGTAGCAGCTCCCAACACACCAGCTGTGATGACCAAAAACTGCCTTCAAGCATTGCCAAATATCTGTGGCTAGGGATCATTCATGTATTAGTTTCTGTTGTATATATGCTGCTACAGTCACATAAAAGCGTGACACACTTACCTATAAGAAGAACATATTAGGTGCTGGGGAAATGGCTCAGTAAAGTGCCTGCCTCACAAGAAGGAGGACCTGAGTTCAGGGTGTGTTAAAGAAAAAAATGTATTTGCAAACGAATCCGACTGTATTCTTTGTAATGCTCCATAGTCAAACTGTTGTACAAAGTTTTTGAGTTCTTAATAAAAGAAAGATATTTTGAACTATAATTTGACTTTAGATACATTTTGTAGGAAAGATTGTCACATACAAAAATAATCCCATGGTGTTAGTTATTTTTATCATTGTGATGAAAATACCTGGCGTAGACAACTTAAAGGAGGAAAGTTTGTTCTGGCTCATGGGTTCAGAGGGGTCAACCTGACGTGGCTGGGAGGAGCAAGCCTATACAGTGGACACACACACACACACACACACACACACACACACACACACAGAAGCATATACAGAGAACACACACACACACACACACACACACACACACACACACACACACACACCTCAGAGCTCCTCCTGCAACAGCCAGACCAGGAGCAGAATGAGACCAGCAGCAGGGCCAGATTGTGACCCTCCCCGCACCTGTGTCCCATCTCCACAAGCTGGGCTTTGTCCCAGAGATTCCACAACCTTCCACAAGAGCAGGTGGGGACAAGTGTTCAAACACGTGAGCCTGTAGAAGACATTCTGCATTCAATGTGAGATGTCACATGAGAGAAGGATCCTTAATGTTCAGAATAGATTCTCCAATGGGAACACTTACCATCTTCCCAAGACCCAGCTTCTGTTGTATGGGAACAAGAAGGAGATCGTAGCCTTACCTTCATGGGTTCTTGTTTGTTCCTTGTAAGCTTGAACAAAGCCCTGAGCCTTAAGACTAACATGGTGAACTGTTTCCTCCGCAGACTGCATCATCAGCTATTAAAGGTGCTATTCAGCTGGGAATAGGATACACAGTGGGGAATCTCACTTCCAAGCCAGAGCGAGATGTTCTCATGCAAGACTTTTACGTGGTGGAAAGTGTGTTCCTACCCAGGTAAGAGCATTAATTTGTGGTGATTCCTGTCCTAAGGAAACTTGACTATGACATGGTTCTGTTGAAAGACTTTCTACCTTGCACACCTCTACATATACTGGAGGATAAATATGTGGAGCTTCAGGCTCTACCATGTTGTTACTACCTGTTGCATTGCTGTCTTACATTTTTCATGGCCATAGTAAGTGAGTGTCATCTGTGGGTCAACTGTAACTGTGATGTATGCCTGGAAGACCATGGAGAAGGATTGTGGGTGAGGATAAAGTCATCTCACAGTAATGCCTGCCACATGTTTAGAAAAGTAGCTTCCATAAAGCAGCACTGATGCCTGATTTAAAAGAATAAAGAATGGGCTGGGGGTCCATAAGGGCCTTGCACCTGAGTTCAGCCTGTCAGTCTTCTCTTGTGATGTCTTTAAATTTCTGCCAACAAATCAAAACAAAACATAAGGATGCAGCTATTTTACAACATGATTATAAAAATACCAAAGTTATACATTTATCAGTCTAGAGAGGAAAATTTTTAATTGTTTGAAAAAATACATGGGGGTCTGGAGAGATGGCTCAGTGGTTAAGAGCATAGCCCCCTCATTAACTAGCTCACAGCTGACTATAACTTCATCTCCAGGGGATCCAACACCTTCTTACAATTCAAACATTTATTGCTTATCAATTATGTGATGATGAATTTGTCAAATAACACTGCCCAACCCCATATTTCTTAGCTCACTTGAAGATGTGGGTCAGGGTAAGTGGGTATTACAGGCTCTGGTTGTAAGCAACTGAAATATTCTGCAGTCCCTGCGGTCTCTAAAATTGATGAGTTTACTTCAGTCATAGAAGAACTAATTGCTTGTGGGGACAAGCTGTTTTAATTTACTTCCTCTCTAAAGCTACCGAATCTGTTTCCCTTAGCAACCAAATACATTGTGTTCTCTTTTTTTTATTTTGAAATTGCTCGAAGCTGTTTTTAGATACTGCATATTTATTCTACAGATTATTTCATGTTGTAAATGGAAAAAGCCCTGGAGATTTAAGATTTGGGGAAGATACAAGAATTCCTTTCTACTCTATGGTTATGTGGTCTCCAAAATCAGAGTGGATTAGTGAAAGAAGCATGATCATTTTCAGGGCTGTGATCAGCAGCATGAGGCTGTAGATAAGTTTTCATGTACCATTGGGATAAAGAAGGAAGATGTTTTGTTATAGTTGAACCTTGTGACCATGAACCTAAGGAAGGCCATAGGAAGCAAAGCTTTTAAATGCCAACTGTGAAGCAAGCGTAGTTTTCTTTATATTCATATATATATGAATATATATATTCATATACTGAGTATATATATACTATATATATAGTATTTGCTTATTCTTAATGCTGTTCACATTTACCAAAAAGAGCCCATTTGACACATAAAATAATTAAGACCCTAAGCCATTAAGTCCCTTAATCCAAGAGTACTAAATCAATGAATGGTAAAGTCAGAATTTGAACTCAGGGCAACTAGTCCCCAAATACTGTCCTTCTGTGTGCTGTAGTAATGACGTAGGAATCATGTTTCTGCTTTATTGAGTCAGGAAATGTATCCAGTTTTTATTCTAGAATTGTGAACTTATCTGTTTCTCTTTGCCCCACAAAAATCTTCTCTACCCCTTTCTTCTCTTCTCTAGGAAACAGTGCCACTAATAATTCTTTGGGGAGGGCAAAAGATGTTTTGAAAATTCACACTTAAAGCTTAAATATCTTCTCGTGTTTATCAATAATTGTGTGGCCAGATATAGTGGCACACATATATAATTCTAGCATTTGAGAGAGACTAAGGCAGGAGGATTGTGAGTCCAAGGCCAGCCTGGGCTACACAACAAAATATTAAAAATAGCTATTATCTGTCTCAAAATAATAGTATTGTCCAACTTTTTTTCTTTTTTTGTCTTTTTGAGACAGGGCATCTCTGTAGCCCCAGCTGACCTAGAACTCACTATGTAGACTAGGCTGGCCTTGAACTCACAGAGATCTGCCTGCCTCTGTCTCCCAAGTGCTGGGACTAAAGGCGTGCACCACCACACCTGGCCTACAACTTAAGAATTGTTTTAAAGCCTCTCCATCTTAGTCCCCTAACTGAGAAAACTTAGTGTGTGAGGGCTGCCCTCGGGCTTTACTGCCTTGGCCTTTGAGACTTGCTTAAGCACACCGAGAAGCCTCAACAGCAGGAAGATGTCCACAGAGCTGCAGTAAGGGTAAAACTAATGTCCAAAACAACCAGCAAAACCGCATGCTAATGGCACATACAAACACTGCCAAATAGCACTTCCTGGTGCACTAGCTACCATCCCTGTCATGCCACACATGACAAAGTAGCCATGTCAATATATAATAAGCATCCCTTCCTTTTTCTTTTCAGTACTGTATACTCTGCTGTTTTTTAGCTAGGTCACAATTAATTTGGCCAGCCCTCTTCTGAGGGACATGTAAATTACTTCTAATTCTTCATAGTTACAAGTATTAATTAATTATAAATTATAAATTATATTATTATGCATCAGTAACTATATGCACACTATTATGCACATGCCTTACTTTATCTGTATCATTTATGATTTTAAAGAAAATGATGAAAATGTCCTCCCCAGGCTAAGCTTTAGTTTACATTCCCATTCATAATGCTTCAGGGCGCTAGATTCCTTGGAGCTATATCAAAGTGTTTGGGTTTTCACCAGTCTTCTAGGTAAAGGGTCTCTCCATCGTATGCCTGTACTGTGAGTAGAGTTTAATGTATTAGGATTTATTCAGTGAGTGTGAAGGCTAAGCTCTTCATATGTCTGGGTCATACATAGTTGCATTTTATGAAGTTCTGCCTTGTATTTTTGCTTTTGTTTAGTTTTGGGTTTTTTTTTTTTTTTTTTGAGGCAGGGTCTCCTTGTAGCCCCAGCTGTCCTGGAATTCACTATGTAGACCAGGCTGACCTCCATCTCACAGAGATCCCCCTACCTCTACTTCTCAAGTCCTGTGACAAAATGTGTGCCTGTGCACCACCATGCCCAGCTACTTGACTAGGTTTTAAGATCAGCTCTTTGGCCATTTTCTCTGCAGTAGCCTGTAGAACTTCACAACCTCTCTTTGAGGGATTAGCCCTTTGTGATTATCAGTAGTAAAATGTTTCCCATCTGTCATTTGAGTTATCTTTTTTGTTTGTGTAATCACATGATCATCATCCTTCACATGAAGAGTTTAACTCTGGGCTGTTTCCCATCACTGTACAGCTTCAGATATCCAAATGCACTGTGAGGTCGCACACACAGGCACACCACCAACTTTCTTGACCTTCAGCATTTCATTCCCTGGTGTTCGGTACAGGCCTCTTGAATGCTACTCATAAGTAGCTACTCATAAGTAGCAGGTCTCTGTCAGACCCCATGCTCTTATCTACCATGGAGGGGATCAAGGATGTCTCCAGAGACTACAGACTAGTCTGAGCGTTTGTCAAAGGAAGGCATAATTCATAAGGCAGAATCCACCAGGAGAAAAATAAAGAAAAGGTCAGGATATGTCAGAACCTGATTTACAGGATAGAACCACCGTGTGAGAATGTTCCTTTACGTTCACACAAATAGAGAAGTTCAAGATTATAGAATCTCAGCAATTCGTTACTCATGTATGTTAATCATCACTAAGTTCTGTTAAATATTATGCCTATCTTTCATCTTCTCCACATGTATGTAATTTGATTGTCCTACACTGACAAGCCTGCCTCACAGATGGAAGAAGCCATTCTCCATATCTTAATGTGGCCCAAAGCTAGCTAGATTTATTTTTTCCATTCTTTGTGGTGTTGTGGCCCTTTAGTTGTCAAGGTTTATACTTGAAGAAATAAATTTGGGGATAAGCCAATAAAGTACCTGTCACACAAGCTTGAGGACCTGAGTTTGAATTCCCAGCACCTTCAGAAAAAGCCGGTTGTGGTGGCATCTGCACATAACCCAGCCCTGGGAGGGGATAGATAGACTCAGCCCTAGATAGGCAGATCCTGAGGCTCCTTGGACAGCTAGACTAGCCAGACTGAGCTTCAGAATCAGTGAAAACTTGTCTCAAAAAGAAAAGGTGGAGAGACACCAGGGAAAGACACTTGACATCGACACATGACCTTCACATGCACACACACATATACATCACACTAACAAGTACATCCACCACACATAAAATACACATAACACATCACACACAGTAGTTTTGGTGGTATTTTGGGGGGTTTGTGGGTTTTTGTGTGGTTTTTTTGTTTTGTTTTGTTTTTTTGGTCTTTTTTGAGACACGGTCTCCCTGTAACCCCAGTTGACCTGGAATTAACTATGTGGACCAGGCTGGCCTTGAACTCACAGAGATCCACCTGCCTCTGCTTCCTGAGTGCTGGGATTAAAGGTGTATACCACCACGCCTGGCCACACACAGCATTTTTAAAGGAAACAAAGAACTGCTGTATGTACACATGTATCCATCTGTGTATGTACCTGTTTCTGTCTATCTCATTTACAGGGACCTTCTCACTCTCCTTTTTATACCATGGAATTAAGCACAGTAATCAAGGAGGTGTTAATCCTGGGAAACCTCATAATTAATGAAAACCAAGGCGAGCAACCCAAGAAGCTCAGAATTAACAAATAAATCAATAAATCAATAAATATGCGTCCTCTATGGTAGAATCTCAGGTTTCCCAGCAAAAGAATGAGGGAAACGTCTGGTGAACAGAATACTGGTGTTTTACCTTTCCTCTGGCCTTTGAAGGAAATCTGTTCTAATGGAGTGAATGGCCTTGACTGTATGAGCTAGAAAGCAAAAGTGGGAGCTGAAGAAACATCCTCATCCCACTAAAAGCAGCCTTCTTCAGAACCAGGCATTGTGATTATTTTTATTTGCTTGCAAAAGCAGGGAAGGATGTCAGAGTTCACACTAAGTCTCTTTGCTTTAACCTCTTATTTCTACATAGTTGACATTTATAAATTATTACAGAGCACATAAGTTCTGAAGTCATCCCAAGGGACCTACAGCTGAGTGCATTTCCCCTCATAAATTGCAAAATATGGAATGAGAACGTGTTTGGATTTGGTACCAGGACATCACACATAACTAGGAATAAATATTCAGCTATGCTTGCTTAGTAAAACAATAATCACTTATAAGCTGGGCATAGTGGCTCATACCTCTAACCCAGCACTCGGGAGGCTAAAGAAGATGGAGGCACCCTAGTCTACATAATAAGTTTCAGGCGAGCCTGAGCTACAAAGTGATATCCTGTTTCAAAACCTCAAAGAAAGGGGCTGATAGCTCCATGGGTAAAGGGCTTGTCGTACAAACCTGGTAACCTGAGTTCAGTCCCTAGAACCCATGTAAAGGGGGAAAGAGAACCAACTCCACAAAGCCGTCCTCTACACACATAGTACGTTGAATTAGGATACACACACACACACACACACACACACACACACACACACACACACTAAATGTTGTGATTAATATTATATGTTTTTATAAAACACCATAACATAAACAGATCTGAACACATATATGCGCGCGAGC